AAAAAAAATTAAATTTATTTTGACTGTGTCAGACCAACATGGCTACCTACCTGAATCTCGCAACATAGGTAAAGATTGGATTCGGAGACCCCAGTATGATGAATGAATAGTCCATCTTTTAAAATTGCTGTCAGCAAAAGAAGACTTTATTCCATTACAGGCTGAGTAAGAGCAAATTGCTCTGTCTCATATCCATGGGGGCTGTTGCCTGGTAACTGCCAGCAAGGGAAGGATTGCTTTTGTCATGGGTGGAAGAAGATAAAAGTTCTCAACCCCACTCCCTTGCCTCATAGATCATCAGTGAGCTTCAGTGCCTAGTAGGTGATGGCAGAAGGAGGAGGGCAGGAAATGTCACCTGAACAATTGTACCATAGGTCACCACATTATTTCTGTTTCTGATACCAGGTTTGAATGTGGTTTTTATTGCAATAACCTTTTTGTAAACCACTCTGAGAGACCATCAGGACTTTGAAGCAGGATATGAGTGTCTTAAACACAAGCTACATGAGGTTAGGCCAGAAATGTAGTCTTTACAATTTTATTTTATTTCATTTATTTTTTGGAAAAAATCTGCTTTAAATGAAATAACTCAATTTTAAATTTTTAAAAACTGATTGTTTAACAAAAAATTTAAATTATCCATCCTAGGGTGGAATAGGGTGTAGCCAATGATGTTTGGGTGATCTCCAGTTGACCTAGCTAGAAATGTGTTACATTTTTGTGCATGATTAGGAGTAAAAATATTATTCTCGTAACTATACTATTAAAGGGCAGGAACCTGTGGGTGTACTTTATATTTTCAGGAAATGCCAGATCTTTTTCAGCTTTACTTCCAGATGTTGGCACTTTTCTGTTTGTCAGGAAAAGTATGTGAAGAATGATTCTAAAGAGTGAAAACAGAGTAATAACTGTTAAAACTGAGAGAGATGTTTGTGGCTTTTTCTTTCTTTTTTAACCTTGGTGTAAATAACATTCTGTTACCCAGCTGCCATTCCTGCAGACTATAGGGTTTTCCCTCATCTGCTAGACAGAAAATTGGCAGGCAGTTGCAGTCTTCTTTTTTTAAGTGCCTTTAGAATATATGTGTGCTTGTGTGTGAAGGGTTGATTCACTCTTCTTCATTCCATCTTTTGTTTTTCTTCCCTGTTTTGGCTTTGATAGCTCAGACTTGCAAACCAAATTTCTGTGTCACCCCCTCTCCCCCCGGCTGTTGTTTTGACCGTTTTTGGAGTCTGTATTCTGTTATAGTATATGTGTGTCTATCCTTCCCTTCATTCTCTGCACTTTTTCTATGCCTTTATTAAGAAGGAAGGGTTGCACAGCGAAATTCCTCTTGCCCATTGCTGCCATCATCCATCTGCACTGCAGCAGTATTTTGTAGATTTCCTGTGTAACAGCATCATGCCTTGCTGTGTTGGCTTCAGAGTCCAAATCAGAAGAGCCTGAGGGCCATTTTTATTTGGCCACTTTCCCACTGTGAATTACTTTTTGCAAGGCACACTTTTCAGTGTGTTTTGTCCAGAGCGCAGTCATGAATGGGTTTGATGTATGTTCCATTATATGACAGAAACCAGTCCTCCTTCCTATGTTTTTGACTGACAGTTAAACACAAACTGGACTCATCTGGCTATTCTTGACTCTCTCTGCCCTGTAAAAGGAACACAGGAATCTACCTTAAAAGGTCAGATCATTTTTCTGACTAGTCTACTCTAACTGCCAGCAACTCTTTGAGGCTATATGTGGATGTCTTTTCTGACACCTTCTATCTGATCATTTTTAAGATGTCAGGAATGGAACCTGTGCACATCTGCCTGCAAAGCATGTGCTGGAACATTGAACTATAGTCCTGCCCCCTCTTAAGTAGAAAGAGATTGCTGATAGGCTGGTCAACAGCACATGACAGGAGTTTTTCTTAATTGCATCTCATCTTGTGGTTCTCGGTCTCTGCGTTTGTGGAATTTTTTTCTGTTCCATCCCTTCTGTAAGCTAAGCCTTCTGTATGCACTAAGAATGTTCAGTCCGAATTCTGTTTACCTGATCCCTGCTTGTCTGCTCTGTTTCCCCTAGTTCTGATCCTCCCACACCATATTTCCAGAGCCAGTAAGCCCTATAGCACTGCCCTTCTGATCTTCTTCCAGAATCAGTCACAGAGAGCCAGAATTCTAAGTCCTGCTGGTTTTGTGGGAGGCAGTAATGTGTGTGAACTTGATAAGATGGAGTCCCATGTCAACATCCTCTGTAGTAGCCTGTACAACACTCATTTTGATTGAAAAGTTAATGTGTTAGTCCACAGGATTTGGTTAAATACCCTTATATTGGGAAGTAGATTCACTTTAGAAATGCTCCTAGTTTAATTTTAAACTGGGTAGGCAATGATTGGAACTCTTCTGTGGCAGGGCAGCAAACTTCATTAGAGATCAATGTTGTGCTCTTCTGCTTGTTTCATCTGCACAAGATTCCAGTTTGCTGATGTAATGAAGGTTGCATTTGGGCTTTTTGATTCAAAGAAAAGGTGAGCGAGAGGTGACATGATAGAAGCTTTGTTTATGTTCAGTGGTGATAAAGGAAGCAAAATGACAAGGACTGTTGCTTTCATGATCTGCTTGTGGGATTCTTAAAAGTATCTGCATAGTTAATATTAGAAATGTGATGATGTGCTAGGTTGATCTTTGGTCTGACCCAGCAGAATTTTCCTTATGTTCTTATCCAGTAAGCAGTAGCTGCTTGCTCAGACCTCTTTGCTGACCAAGCAATGAAACTGCTGTGAGAGAACATCTTCATAGTTTGGCCACTGAGTTTTTTTCTTAATGATTTTGCTGCTGCAAAGACTGCAGATGTTTACATGGCAGAGAAATTATGATGATGTTGATGATACAGCAAATTGACATCTCAAGTTAGAGCTGTTCAAAAATAAATGGCCCAGGGAATTAATTATTCTTGCACTATCTGTCTTTATGGAACCCTATGGTCACATAGTTCCTTAACTATTTTCTTAGTCATGAAAAGTATTCTAAACATTATTAAAGATGTAGTGATATCATAAATCATCAGATGTAGCACAGGCATATTTTAGAAGTTACTCCCCCCCTCACTACTTTTACCAGTGCTTATTTTTCAAGTATTCCCACGACAGCTTCTTATTAATGCATGACCTTTGCCTGCACATACATATGAATGTACACTCCACCAGCACGTGTTTGAGTTCTTTAGCTAAAAGTCATGGTGCACCATTCATATAAGGGGGAATTAATAGCCAAACAACAAACCAAAGTTTAGAATGAAAAAAAGTTGCAGTTAAAAAAACCTAAAAGAAACATTATACAAGCAGTATGTAGATTAGATTGTCAATTACTGGTTAAATCTAAGGAGAAGTAGAGACATGAGGAATCTAATATCAAATAAAGAGAGGGAAGGGTAATAGGCATCAGAGAGACACAAAGAGATCAGGGGGTTAGAGGACTAGTCTAAAATATTAAAATTAAGAAACTTGCATCATAAATTCAGATTGACTCCTATATTTTTGATATGTACATTTTCCTTGAAAGTATACTTTTTCTTACACCCTGTTTCTTAAGAATGTAGGAAGCTGCCTTGCACTTAGACTATGAGCCCATGTAGGTCAGTAGTGTCAACAATGGCAGCAACTCTCAAGGGTTTCACATGAGCCTATTCCAAACCTATATGCCGATACTGAAGATGGAACCTTTTGCATGCAAAGCCGATGGCTCTACCACAGCCCACAAGGTGCTTAAATTGCTCAGGTGCTTAATTTCTGAAGTGTTTAAATAAAATCTTGGCACAAGGATAACTTGCAGGAGCATTTCTGGGTTCTCGAAATCAGGAAGCTGTCTCATACTGAGTCAGGCAAGTAGTCTACCTAGCTCAGTATTGCTTCCACTGATAGGCAGTGGCTTCCATGTGGGGGACATTCCCAGCCCGACCTAGAGATGGCAGGGATTGAGCCTGGGACTCTTTGCATGCAAAGCAGATACACCACCACTGAGCTATGGCTCTTTCCTCTAGTGTTCAAATGGCTGTGAGCTGGTGGGGAAATTTTGAGTTCAATGGACAACATAACTAATATGAAGGGCTCTGCCCATAACCCTCCAATTGGACTCCTCTTAGGTTATAGCTGAAATGTGTTTATAATGAGTTACCTCTTCTATCTCATGACAATTTATCACAGACTGTCCATTTGGTTTAGACTGTCAGTTCTGTTTTCTCAGCCTTTGTGTTTTGTGAGTTCTGTAGAATGACCAGAGAAAAGGAGAGCTAGAAAAAAGAGAAAAAATTGACAGGTGAAGCTTTCCACAATCCCCACATGACAAACCACAGTTCTTTTCCAAAGGCTATTCTTCTGCATTGCTCTTTAAGGTATCAAATAGCTACAATATGGAAATTCATGATAGTATTTCCCAATCCTATTTATTTAATTTTAAACTTTAAATAACTGTAGATTGCTCCCATTTTGATCTGGATAGATAAACAACCTTCTAGCTTAAGGGTGCCATATGTCCAGAATTTCCTGGACACAGCTGGAATACCACAGTTGAAAGCAGTATCTGGCTTGAAATCAGCTAAATGTCCAGGCAACTGATGTCGGGCAGTGTCGTTTTTGCTGATTTTCCTAAAAAATATCTCACAAATGTCTAATTTATTTGTGATTTTGCAAAAAAAGCTCAGCAATTTTGGCCAAAATAAAATGGGGGGGGGGAGCTCAACAACTTAGTCCTCCCCCCAAAAAAAGTTCAATAAGATTTTAACTTCAAATATTTCTGCAGACTGTAATATGTAAATACCAATGAGGTCTTGCAAATACTTGCTGTATGTATTTAGAATGATCTCTACTGTGAACATGTTGTCAAATCCTGATAATTTTGATTAGTTTTTGTTAGATAATGGGTTATAGCACTCATTCTTAAATTTTAGTGGTGTACAGGTTTTTAATATATTAATATTGTTACTCTGCCTAAAATGATTGATATTTTCCTTTGTTCCAGCCAAGCCTTTCACGTCTAAAGTGAAACAGATGCGACTACATAAAGAAGACTTTGAAATCTTGAAGGTGATTGGCCGAGGAGCCTTTGGGGAGGTAAGAGTTATTTAGATGTTGAATGGGCCTGTGGAAGAATCATATGTACAGCTAAATCACAGGATATACTTCTAAGATTTTTTGATGTGGAAATGCATTGTTGGGCACTTGAATTCAATTCATTCCACAGTTTGTTGGTTTTCTGCACTTATTTTTGTAGGGGCATTAGGACCTTATTACTAATGTCACTTTATTTGTTTATTTATTTGCTTTGCTTTGCTTTGCATATTTAAGGATTTGTGGGCTGAACATTTTGTACAATCTTTCTAATGCTATCACTATATGGTCACAGTACTGGAAGGAAGAATGATCTGGAAAGACCTTTACTATAGCGATTTCTTAAGTCTGTTTAGTGGGATAGGTGTAAAAAGACAGTTCTTGCAATGGATGTAAGTAAGCAGTAGGTTCTCCCAGATTCTAGATCACCGCAGTCCAACTTTTCATACCAAGCGGGTTGCAAGAGTACTTCATCACAGAACCCGCAAGCCACACACTGAATTAAATTTACATATCATTATTTAAAGCGTTTGCAATATACTGAATATACACAATTTATATACTTAATTAAATACATAAAACACACAATAGATTTAATATATTTCATTATTAAACAAATTTAGTACACAAACAGATGTATGTGCATTTGTTAACAATGCATGAGAAAACCACAAATTTTTAAGGTTTCAATATGTTTTTTTCTTGCCAAGGGCTGCCATAAAAGGCCTTATTGGCTGCAGGTGGCCTGTGAGCCATGGGTTGGAGCACCCTGTTCTAGATTAACATGATGCTACCTGCAGAAATCATCTAGAAGTAGGTGTGAACTGTGAGGTTCCCATGTTTGTGAATGACACCATCCTTGAAAGACATGAGGCAGACTGAGAAGGTTACCTAGGGTGGCTAAGTCCTTGTTCTTGTCTCTGCAGCTCCTTCAGCTTCCTGCTCATTCTTTGCATGATTTCTGCCAGCACCCTCCTCCTGCCTTCTATGTGTGTGTGTGTGGGGGGGGGGGAGATGTTCCCAATTCAGTCTTTGTCTCTTGAGGCTAACATTGGTCTCTTTGCTAGAAGTAGGTCAGTGAAAGCTGCACATGCTCCCATGAAGCACCGTTCTGTTTTGGACTCGGACACTGTGCCGTTGCCATTGCAATGGCACTTTGTTTGGCTCCCTGCAACTTGGTTGGTACAGCTCTGCTGGCCTGGGTTCCTGTAGCAACTGGTACTTCTGCTGTTGCTGCTAGCAAGTTCTTTGGCACCACTACCACTTCCTTTTAGGGGAGCAGGCTCAGTCTGAGCTGGTGTTTCACTGGTTTGGTAGTACCCATATGACACTAAAATTTCTAGTATGGTAATGATTAATAGTTCCATTAAAATGTCAACTCAGTGTGCAACATCTGTGAACAACGAAAATCCCATGTTTGGACTTAAGAAAGGGGGAGGGGGGCTAACAAGTACCCTAAAAGTACCCTGGTATGGCTTTGTTGAAAATGCTGTGTACAATTCTGGTTGCCTCATCTCAAAAAGAATATCCTTGAGCAGGAAAAGGTACAGAAAGGACAAACAAAATCTTCATGAAGTTGGAACACCCTCCTTATGACGCAAGTCCATGTTTTGGGGGCTTTCTTTTTTTGTTTGTCTTAGAAATAATACATAATAGAAGTTTACAGAAACATTAGATGGAGAGAATACGTAGAGAGAAAGGTTTTGTCCTTTCTCATTTTTTTAGAGCTGGATTGGAAGTAGAGTCAGGGCAGACAAAAGAAGTACTTCACAAAATATAAAATTTGTGATGTGTTTCAGTGAGATGTGGCATTTGTTTGAACCCTAACTTCCCTTTTGTGTACATGTGTTGGACTTGTTAGTACAGATAACATCTCCGTCATAAAGTAAATGAACCAGACTGAGCATGCCTGCTTCTGGATGAAATTTTCTGTCTCTATACTCTGAAGGGTTTGGACAAGGTTTAGCCAATTATTCCAGATAATTGCAGTTGTCACTGAAATTTAGTCTATTGCAAAATTGAACTCTAATATTCCTTTTTGGAAAGTGTGTAATTTTTAGGGGAGCTAAAGAGAATAGCAGCATTTCACAGGAGAGTATTATATCTGCTGATAATTTCTAACCCTTAGGCAGCATGATCCTGAGCTCTATGTAGTATAGGGAGCCTTAAGTCAATACAGGCTTTTCAAGTACTGTAGTCTTCCAGACCAAATTAAGATCTTCTTGCAGATGTGGGGCAGGGTGGAGAGGAGGAGGGGTGTCATTGAGGGATGAGATGGTGGTTTACACAAAATCCCTCTGCTTTGCAAAGGCTTCTTGCTGGAGCAAGAGACTGCAAGACAAGAGGAGTTAATTACAGTTCCTTGGTATCAGACCTTCAGTCTGCATAACTTGGGATAGTTTACAGGGGAAATCCCTGGGGTATACTACAAGGACTCCAGGCTTTTCTTAATTTAGAATGAAGAATTGGGTGTGGCTGTTTCATCTCAGTGTCACTTTATTCCAAGACATGGAATTATTTATGCGAATCTGAATGTTGGACTAGATGACCCTCTGGGTCCCTTCCAACTCTACAATTCTTTGATTTTATGAAATTCATATGTGTGCTGCCCTTAAAAGCCAAATGAGCACAAAATGACTAACATTCCTACTACTTCCAGTGTGTTTCTTTTTAAACCATTGCTTATCCAAGAAGCAGTAGGAATCTGTTAGCATATTTTTTTCCTCTCCAGATAGCTGCATCCATTAAAATAATTGAAGAAGGAACGGCAATGTGTTGATGTACAAGTACATGAGAGACCAAACCTTGTGAAGAGGCAGAAAGAGTTTGACAGCAAGCCAGGAAGCATTACTGTTTGTGGGAAATATGGAAAACAGTTGGAAGAAGGATTTTGGCTTCTTTCTCCTTTCAGACTAAAACCAAAATGTTTATATCAGCACATACCAAGCATTTTTAGCAGGCTGTTCATGGAGGAAAAATACACTTAAAAATATTAAATTTTCAGATTTAATAAATCAGTGACCAGACTTTTGCAGGGAAGGGATGAAATAGTGTAATTGTCACTTTGATTTTGTTTCTCTTTGCTGTTTAACTGCTGGTTAGAGAACTTTTGAAGGTTGTGATGTGTGTGTGTGTGTGTGTGTGTGTGTGTGTGTGTCCTCAGTTTCCAAGCTCCTTCTCCCATTTACAGTGGTACCCCGCAAGACGAACGCCTCGCAAGACGGAAAACCCGCTAGACGAAAGGGTTTTCCGTTTTGGAGGCGCTTCGCAAAACGAATTTCCCTATGGGCTTGCTTCGCAAGACGAAAGCCCATAGGGAAATCTCCAGGGACCTGTTTTAAATGCTAGCGGTGGGGAGCAAAGCCTTCCCCCCCCCCGGCCTTCAGAAGAGGTCCAGGAAGGCTGGCGGGGGCCGAAACGCTTTGCTTCCCACCGCCAGCATTTTAAAAGCAGTCCGGGATAGCAGGGAAGCGCTTCCCGCTATCCCGGACGGCTTTTGAAGGCAGGAGAGGTCCGCGAAGCCTGGGCGCGCTGATCTCAGCGCGCGCAGGCTTCGGCATGCCGGCAACTCTCCGCAAGCAGCGGCAGCGCTGCCGCTGCTTGCGGAGAGGTCCGCGAAGCCTGGGCCAGACAGCTTTTGAAGGCAGGCGGGGGGGAGCAAAGACTTTCGCCCCCGCCAGCCTTCAGAAGAGGTCCTGGACCTCTTCTGAAGGCTGGCGGGGGGCAAAAGTCTTTGTCCCCCCTGCCTGCCTTCCCAGGGGCTTTTAAATCGCCCCGGGCAGCGGAGAAGTCCTCCGCTGTCCCGGGGCGATTTAAAAATGCCGCCCGCCAGCATTTTAAGATCGCCCCGGACAGCGGAGAAGCCCTCCGCTGTCCCGGGGTTTTTTAAAATGCTGGGGGTGGGAAGAAAAGCCCTTGTCCCCCCCCCCCAGCCTTCAGAAGAGGTCGGGGTACAGACTGTCCCCGGACCTGGTCTGAAGTCGGTTTCCCTAGGAACGCATTAATTGATTTTCAATGCATTCCTATGGGAAACCGTGCATCGCAAGACGAAAAACTCGCAAGAAGAAAAAACTTGCGGAACGAATTAATTTCGTCTTGCGAGGCACCACTGTACTTCTCAATTCTGTTAGGGGCCCCTCAGCAGTGTCTGTCAGTGCCCTATATATATTAGCCAACAATCCTTTCCCAGATTGTCCTCTATTAGCAAAATGGCCTCAAACCTTGTGAGGCCCAGACCCAAGCGTCTCAGGTCCACCCAGAGGTGTTCCTGGGTGACTGGTATATTATTCTTATAAAAATCTCTAAGCTTGAAATAATGAGGAGCAGATGGGAGACACTTCCCGTGTTTGAAAGGTGTTGAGAGTAAAGCAGTTTTTCGTAGTACTGCCATGTTCTCATTCCGAAAAGGTGTGGACCTTGGTTCAGCAATACCTTCTACAGTGTGGTCCGATGTTTACAAGATTTTAAAATCATGAAACAAAGTTGGCGGAATTGGAATGCTTCATAATACAAGTCAGTATTGAGCAATCCCCACCCCCTCATCTGATTTCGTGTATAGAATTTAAAGTGGTCTCTTACCCTTTAAAGTATTGATGAAGATTATTTAAAATCTTCTGCCAGCACTTGAGAGTAGATTGATAGAAGGGAGATGCGGAGGATCCTAGCCAATATGATTGATCCCTCAGCAGATTTCTTTAGCTTTCCAAGAATTTTGGCCAGAAATGAGAATCGATTTGTGTTGGGAGAAGTGAGCATAAGAATATGTTCACGTAGCATCTGCAATGAAAATAATTCTGCCCATTGGATCCCACTAGATTTTATGTACTTGAAATTTATATTCTCTTCTTCCCTGAAAAACTCCAATTTGTAACCATCTTAGCAGGCACATTTAATTAAATCCTACACGAGAAAAAAAATAAGAAATTTTGTCCAATAATTACTACTCTTGTTTCTGGAAAGTTATGGGTCTTTAGCCAACAATCCAGCTCCCTTATCTCATACTGTATTGTGTTCCTTGTTTCTAAGTACGTGATCTTAGCAATTATCATGGTAAATGTACATAGAGGCAAACAGAAGTTTATTAATTTCCCCCTTCTCCTCCGTTGTCTATAAGCAGATTGTGTGTAATGTAAAAGGCATGTGGGTTGCATAACCAGACATTTTGGATTGTGGTTCTAATGCTTTATTTAGTTGCATATCAGTATGCTTTTTAATTGTTGTAGCAACCAATTGGTATGTACTTTTGTTCTGAAAATGCAGAAAAACTTGATTAAGTAAATATTTAATTACTATTTTTGGTGATTTAAATCAGTCCCTTCTGACATATTAGGGCATTCTCACTTTAAACCACTTTTAGAACAAGAAGAGTTTTATCCTTGCACTATAAATTTAGATTTAAGTCAGACTATTTTGAATTGCTTTTCCATTGTCATTCTCATTTCTGCTTGTTTTCTTTCTTTGTTTACCCATGTTGCCATTTGCCTGTTGCCTTTTAGGTTCCCATAAAGCCACAGCACTGTTGAAATAAAAAAACTGTTACAATTACAATAAAAATGTCTTCAGGAAGAAAGGAGAAAACATTCCAGTGCTTTATTTTTCCACAGAAATCTTTCCTTTTCAACAATTCATAGAATCATAGAATCATAGAGTTGGAAGAGACCACAAGGGCCATCGAGTCCAACCCCCTGCCAAGCAGGAAATTCATTACTAATAATGAATTGATGCAAATAATTATTAGGCAAGCTTGATCGTTTCAAAGTTTTTAGCTTAGTTCACTAAATGCATAAGTAAAAGAAACATGCAAAATTGGCTGTTCTCTAAGCAATAAGACAATTTTCTGATGCAAACTGAAAATGTTCCAATTTAAATTTTCTGGAAACCTCACATCACTAGTGAAACCTGAAAAGCACTGCACCCTGTCTGATTGGTCACTTGCTTCCCTCTTTTTTGTCATTGGCCCCCAGAACACAAAATAAAACTAGATCGTTTTCAGAAATACCCTTTTCTTTGTTTTACTTGGGGAAGCTTTGCCTGCTTGCTTGTGATTGGCATGTTGAAGTATCTTACAGTTCATATGTAACTTATTAAAACTAAGTTTAGTATCTGTTTCAAGTATAAGAGCTAGTTATAAGATGCTGTTTATTTTCATTTTAAAACAACCTCCTGTTTTTCTTGCTTGCTTTATCTTGAATCTCATGTATAAAGAACTTTAATTTGAACCTTGGATTTCACCAAGGATTTTGCTAAGTTAGAATCTGCCTTGTCTGCTTGCCAGACGTTGCTCCATACTTTTGAGAGAAAATAAGAGGAAGGTATGGATTGGACCATTGCCTGGCCAGACCAGAAAGCTTGCAAATTTCCACAGCCCTCATGTGCCTCCCAGTTTGGGAGTAAAATAAGAGGTAGGTTAGCCAGTTAATGAATTTACAAAGGAAGGAAGAGGTGGAAATAAGTTCACCGTTGTTAATTTTTTTAAAACAGGATTTAAAACCAGTTTCACATTCTGAGTTCAAATGCTGGATTAAGAGTGATCTCTGGTTAGTTGGCAGGATCACGTAGTGTATTTGTGTTTAGGAGAAGAGAGGTTAGGGGAAGAGCGCACAGCACCATAGCCAGCTCCTGCTTCTTAAATCAAATTCATTGTTAATTCTGAACCAAATTTCATGCAGTCTGAGAGTATCAGTTTAGTATTGCCTCCAAAATGGCTTAAGTTAAGAAAGCTTGCAGGGCCTGCTGTCAGTTTAGCTAGTCCAGCAGGTCTTTCACAATGTAACATACATTTTATCACATACATTGATATAAAATATGTGTTTAAATGTGATTGTTTTTAGCAGATTACTCCAGAATTTGTGAACATATACAAAGTGGTATGAAAATTACCGGTAACTGATGTGTCCATCTCTATGTTTTGTAAATGTACACAAAACAGTAAACGGGGAAAATTCATGTACAACCAACATTACTTTTAACTGTGGCATAACATAAACTATGAAAAGAAAATAATCTTCTGAGGATTACTTTCACCTTAACTGTGCCCTAATAAAGTGCTATGATGACTTCTAGAGAAGTTTTTAGATTTTTAGATGAGAACACTTTAGTTCTGATCAGTAAAACACTTAAGAAAAAGAAGTCTTATAAAATCTGTACCAGGTATACTATATGAGAAGTACATTTAACTATTACTAGTGGTAGGCACAAACATTTTCAAAACAAAGTTTAAATTAAACATTTTCTTCTGTCCCTTCATTTTTATATATTCCTGGGTTCTATTTTATTTTTACAAGTGTAGGATTGTGGAAGAGGTCAGACTTGATTATTATACCATAGCAATTCTGGGAACTAATAACTATTCCATCCAAGTTTTCATGTTTCCTGCTTTATACTTTTATAAGAATTCAGCATGGTGTATTAGCTTGAGACTTTGCTTGGGCTCATGAAAGAGACTTTCATCAAGCTGTCATCTGCTGCAGCATTTGTCCCACAAATCCATTGGCTCACACCAAGAATGGCAGTTTATAGATAGATAGACAAGAGGGCAAGGTTCAACCTTATTTTATTTTTGTCAATAGCCTAAAGGGAAAAATCAGATACAAATCTTTGTCACAGAGTACCGATGTGTAAACAGGTAGAAACAAAAATAATTGTTAATATTTTTTGAATTGATTGGGAGTTTCCTTTCCGAGTGATGGCAGTATGGAATGTGACTATTTAAAATGCATTCATCAGTGAGTATTTTCATATTGGGTGTGGCGTACTCCTACTGCTATGTGACAAGCTGTGATTAGACTTTTGAGTTCTCGTTTTATATTTTCTACAAGTTTAATAGAATTCAATTTATTTATTTATTTATTTAACAGCTTTTCTGAACAACTTAAAATTTAAAAATCTTTAAGCAGCATCAAACCTTAAAAGTATCATAAAAACAGATATAACATAAAAGTAAATGTTATAGAATCAGGAATTTGGTGTTCACAGGGTCCTGTCTTGTGCGTTAGGGAAAACTTGTTTAGAACCAGCCTTGCACTCATGGCCTGGGAACTGCTTCAAGTGTGGTGGTTTCTCACACCATGAAGGTCACATCAGAAACCTCTGGCTATATATGGGAGTGGTCCATGCTGTGACTTGTTCTAGAAACTGGAGCAGTGTTGGCATAGGAACAAGCCACAGCATGGACTCCTCTCACAGGCCCCTGGGCTTCTGCTGTCACCCCAATGGCACAAGAAGGAGCCATGATGCAGTGGTTACCCAGGTAACGTACTGAAGGTCTTTCTTTTTTATTATGCAGATTGAGATGATAACTGAGACAATAGAATTATGTATCCTGTTTCATTATGCAGGTGGGAAGAGGTCACTTCTTAATGTAGTAAATTATCTCAGTGATGCTTCTGTGTCTATGAAATACACTCCCCAGACAGGCAAAAATCTGCTGCTTTTAAAATTTCCTGTTATCATTCGTCTGTTTCTGTAGTTTTTAAACACATTTTTACTTTTCTTGCATTTTAAATCTGTTGCTGCTATTTTTTGTAATTGTTGGATCCTGTATTATAATTGCTGTTGTTTTAATCCCTCTTCCACTTTGTATGATGCCTCGAGAGTGATAGCTGTTAGGTATCTAATAAATGTAATTAATAAATAAACATTAGAGATAGCGTTTTAGTGTCTTTCAGCCTACCTCAGATATGCTAATCTGCTTACATATAGGGAACTTTGTATGCAAAGGAGCATTAAAAAATATGTCCATCTTGCATTTCAAGTCTGAAGGGACACATTTTAGCATCAGAGATCATCATATTTGGCATAATGTTTCTATCAGGGCTTTGTACTGCATGATCTGGTCCCTCTGAGCTGTTGCTTTCTTATTTTCTTCATAGAATCTGCTGGCCTAAAACAGTGAAATCGTAATATACTCAATCTGTGGTTATGTCATTAAGTACTTGGTACTGCAGCATATGTGAAATCTAAACATCTGTTGGTCCAAATTTCTTCAGTAAAATTTGAAGTTATACAACCATTATTTGCAGTAAGATTGTGCGAAAATGAACTGCACTGGAAATGTCTTGGTGTATTATGAACATACTGTAGATATATATATTTTAAAATCTAATTTTATCTTTTCAGGTTGCAGTAGTAAAATTGAAAAACGCAGATAAGGTATTTGCCATGAAAATATTAAATAAATGGGAGATGCTGAAAAGAGCTGAGGTAAGACTCTCAATAAATGTATACTCGAGCTTCTGTTAAGATTATTAGTTTTGGCTTCCGTTATTGAAATAAAATACCATGAAATAAATGCAGAACTAGATTATTTATAAACACAGAACATTTTGGGAAATAATGCCCAATCTAAAACATTTCCATTTCCAAAACTCCTGCTTTGTATGCTTAATATTACTCTGCTTGCAAAAATGATTTAAAATATTTCCTTCAAGTTTTGATGTCTAACTTTTAAAATACAGATTTTGGTCTGCTAAGATGTTTTGATATGGATTCTGCAACCAGAGAAACCCAAAAATGTGTTTACAGAGTACCTTAAAAGCTACTAGGCAATTTGCACACAGTTCTGTGTTTAGAAATAATCTAGTTATGTTTGCAGAACCAGACTTCCAGGCATAGGTCCCTTGCTGGGAACAATATGTCATAATCTGTATGTGCCCAAGAGTTTCTGTGACTGGATTAAGCATATAGGTCTGTACACTTTGGTCATATTACTGGATTGAGATACGTCTACAGTGCCCAAGAGTGTTCACCCCTGTGTACAGATCCATATATCAATGTACCAGTAGTATTTTGTGGTCTGGATTTTGTTCCTTAGGTGACAGATATTAGTAATGGTTGATGGAAACTCCTTATACTTTATGAATTGCATTTATTATTTGCATATTATAAGTAAAAAAGGAATTTAAAACCTGAGTGTCACACTTATAATTACAGTATCTCCCTTGTTCCATAACCAAATGATATCAACATATGTGCATATACAGTTGTCTTAGACTAGTCCAATATTTTCTTTTCTGGCTAGTAACAGCTTTCTCAGGCAGAACTTTTCCCCCACCCAGCTTATTCTTTAACTGGAAATGCCAGGAAGTAAACCTCAGATGTGAAAGCATGTGTTCTACCATTATAGTATCCAGGTATTGGATAGCAGAAGGAGAGAGGGAAACTATAGTTAGTTTCTCTCAAGATGCAATGGATGTCAAGAATTCCAACCAGCAGAACTTGTGGGAAGAGAAGCTTGCATAGAGAAAATAGTTCATAGGCTATAAATAGCCTTCGTTTAAGGGGAAGGTTGTTTTCAAACCAAGTCTGTTATGATACATTCTCTTAGAAAGCTATCTCTATTTAGCTTTATATTTTACATACCACAATTGTTAAATTTTTGAAATCTAAAATGCCTCCGAGTTTAAATAATGATGAGGACCTAGGGGCCTCATTGCCACATCATGGTGAACTATATTTAACTGTGGATGCAGATACTATTCCTGCTTGGATCCTCCCCTTGCTTAATGTTGGGGAATGTTTCTCAGCCTGAGAGTTCAAGGGCAATATTCTTGGGGCTGCATGCCAGCAATGGCCAAGTACAAACCATGGCTTCACCCAGCAGTTTGTTTGCACAGAAATAACCACAATCCGCAGTTTGGACATAGTGTTAAACTAGGGGTTGCCATTTGTTTCTCCCACACACTTGGTGATGAGTGAATTAGGAGCCATTTGCAGGTTCACAGTAGACCATTAACTAGTTTGCTGTGACCTGCCAATGCAGCCAGTAACTCAAAAAGCACTGCTAATATTTTTTAGATGCAGTAATAATATGCACGATGTTTTTATAATAAAATGCCATTATTAAAATGCCTAGTTTGGGGGGGGGCTGGATACACACACACATGAAGAAAACACACACTCTATAGCTACACACACACACACACACACACACACAAGTTTTAACATGTGGAATGGCATCCCTTCCAGACCATGGTAGATTCTACAACTAATGAAAATTGGCAGTTTAGATATTTAGACTCCATCCAAATATAAACAGTGGGATGCAAAAATGCAGCTCAATTCCCTCATGTATACTGTAGTTCATTCCACAACTCTGAATGGTAGTTAGTATTATTTTAGAAAAAAAATACTGCTTTTGCTTCTAGTTAAAAATAGAAGCCTGAAACAACTGGATGGAGCAAGTTTAGCCTTTTGGGTATTGCATGCCAAAGTCAGGATCCGAAGAGCTAGTTGCAGTGCAATCCAACGACTGTTTACTTGGCAGTAAGTCACATTCTGTTCGTCTGTGCCTATGAGGAGTCTTTAGGATTGCATCCCTCGGCTGAGTAAACATTGTACTACAGTATTGGGCTTTCAAAATTTATTTGTTTTGCTCTGTTGAATTGTTAACTTGCTTTTTAAAAAACACAAACAACTTTGAACAGCTGCCACCCATATAGTATCACAATTTCCCCAGTTTCAAAGGCAGCTTGCCATGGTAGAGGGCTGTGGGTTGATGTTTGAGAAAGGCAACTTTACTTCCACAAGTTGGCTATATTTCTGGGGAGTTAAAGCTGTTATATTTCATGAAGCATAGTAGGTCTATCATTGGCTGTTGATGGAATCTCCATATTTGTGCAACTAAATACTAGTTGCTGAGAGAGGGCGTGCTATGGGAGAGCAATTGCCTTCTCACAGCCTGGTTGTGGGCTACCTTGAAAGAATCTGGTTGGCTGCTGTGGAAAGTAGGTTACTGGACTAGTTAGATTTTTCTTTTGACTCAGCATGGATCTTAATGTTGTACAAAGAGTATAAAAAAACTTGAGCATTCTCATTATACTGCTGGTTTCATATTTGTACGTGTCTGTATACAGTAACTTTAATAGTAATCATTCAGGGATCCCACCTTATCATAATTGAAAGCCACCTTAACTGTCAGCAGGTGAGAAGTAAAAAAAAGTTGTGATATTACTCATAGCCAACCCCAAATTGCTTACCTTTGGTTAGCACAACTTTGCTGTGGTTAAGTGATGGTTTAGTTCAGGGTTGGGGAAAGTGTGTTCCTCCAGGTGTTGGTGGACTACAACCCCCCATCATCCCTGACCTTTTGCAACACTGGCTGGAGCTCATGGGAGTACAGCAACATCTGGAGGGCCATGGCTCCCTCCCCCATTTTAGATGGAGAAAAATTGAATCTGCATTGGTACTAAAGATTAATACAACCTCTTAGTAATCAGATCATTACTCTTGGCTGCAGGAGAGATGACTTCCTTGTAATCCTACAGTGTTTCTAAGCATCTATCTAAATATATTTGTTTCATTATTCAAAATAGTACCTAAAATATTATTTTTCTACCCTCCAGACAGCTTGTTTTCGAGAAGAGAGGGATGTGTTAGTCAACGGAGATAACCAATGGATTACAACATTGCACTATGCCTTTCAGGACGAAAACTATTTAGTGAGTGTTACTTCAATGTGCTCTTTAAAATTCCTTCATTTTTTAACTTTATTTATTTTACAGATTTATAAGCTGCTTCAAAGGCAGAAGCTATCAGAGTGGTGTACAATAAGAGAAAATGTAACTCAAAACAATATATATATGCTCTGAAAAAAAATAAAACTGTTCCTAAGGACTCTAAAAGCAATAAAACCATTTTTAGAATCATACACTTAATATTTCATAAATTGACTAGGTCCTACTTCTGGATAAGACTTCTTAAACAGAAGCTTCTTAAGTAGCTGCCTAAGGATCAAGCCACTAGGTGGCTTGTCTAATTTCAACTGGTAACTGATTCCAGAGGACTCGAGCTGCAACACTAAAAGTGCATACACACCATATGTTTAAAGTATGTGGCTGGTGTGTTCTACTATCTTCCCTTGCAGTTGGTAAGAGAACAAAATGCTGCAGTTCCATAAGAGACACTGCTCCCATAGCAATACAGTTTCAAGATTGCCCCAGCATTACAGAACTTAAAATACCCTCTTTCTACTATAGAATAGAATGCAGTAGTTCTGCAATAGGAAAAGCACAATTACTGTTGCAGCACTGGTATTTCCTGCCCTAGTTCTGTTGTGCTTTTCGCATATTTGCCTTTCTAAATTTGTTATAAGTGCCTTCTGTTTTCTTTTTTCCTAGTACCTGGTAATGGATTATTATGTGGGTGGTGATCTGCTTACCTTGCTTAGTAAGTTTGAGGACCGGTTACCTGAAGAAATGGCTCGCTTTTATTTGGCTGAAATGGTAGTAGCAATTGATTCTGTACATCAGCTGCATTATGTCCACCGGTAAGTATAATCAGTGGAATATATGGATCTTCACTATTTTGATCTAAAGCATTGCTCACATTTCAGCTCCAGAAAAAGATGAGGAAAGTACTTAGTTGTTCTGAGAGCCAGTGTGGTGTAGTGGTTAAGAGCGGTAGTCATGTAATCTGGGTAACCGGGTTCGCGTCTCCGCTCCTCCACATGCAGCTGCTGGGTGACCTTGGGCCAGTCACATTTCTTTGAAGTCTCTCAGCCTCACTCACCTCACAGAGTGTTTGTTGTGGGGGAGGAAGGGAAAGGAGATTGTTAGCCGCTTTGAGACTCCTGAAGGGGAGTGAAAGGCGGGATATCAAATCCAAACTCTTCTTCTTCTTTAAAGAATTACAGCACTGAAAATTAGCTAGATGATTTTGTTGCTTTTTGTTATTAGTTGACTTTTTGATAAAACCGGAGGAAACGCTTTGTTGGTATTTAAACTTTTTTAATCTGTATGAATTTCACTAAATCAGTCCTTTGGAGGCTTGGCTGAAACAGCATTTAATATTATCCAGTAACATATGAAATAACAATACTTGCATATAATTTGTGTGCTGTATAAAATTTGCTATGAAAGTATGGTTTGTTTTTAGGATAGATGCTTTGCAGAATCAGGACTTGCATTTGGAATGAGACTTGAAGTTTGGTTCTAGCATATATCATCAAAGAGATCAAATACTGATTGGTTTGTGTCCAGAAAATTAAAGGATAAACTTATTTGTGCAGATAATTTAGAAGCTGGTTTTGTCTCTTTTAATGCAGAGATTATCCGTATAAGGGTTGTAATGCTAAAGGCAGGCAGAGATATTTCCATAATTTATCAGTATTAGCTTAGGTCTGATATCTTTGAAACCAATTTCTATAAAAGAATAAGGGCACAATCGATTCCTCCACAAGATGCATGCAGATAGCACAGTGTGAAATCTCTGTTTGAACTCATTCATACCAGATAAGTTTTGTGTACCATACTTTGTCTCTTCCATGTGAACTTTGCACAAACTGCTGCTTTGGCAGGGCATCTGGCATCCCAGGTCTAAGATATAAAGATATAAATTCTACAATACTTTCCAGGGAGTAAGTCCCTCTGAATTTAGCTGGACTTAATTTTGAGTAGACAACATAGTTTTGTGCTGTATATTATTTGTTTGTTTGCTTGCTTGCTTGCTTGCTTGCTTGCTTGCTTGCTTACTTATCGCCCTATACCCAGAGGTCTCTGGGTGGTTCACAGAACAATATGCAGCTGATAGATTCATAGAAGATAGCGAGCTTGTGGGTGTCACTGAATTAGATTGTGGGTGTGTTTTTAACAAATGGATTCTATTTGTGACTTGGCTATGAAGTTCTGAACATTCCGGTTTTGAGGTTTCAGTGTTCCAATAATATTCTAGTGTATTTATGATCTTAGTTTGGGCCTATGCACCATGTGTTGACTGTGCTGCTGTGTAACTTGTAAATAATTTTCAATTCTTGCTTATATAACTACTGAAATAGAAGATTAAAACCAGCACAGAAAGGACTAAGATTTGACTTGACATACTGCTGAAACTAAATTTGTTATAATTATAATGAAGTATTTTTGAAGAAGGTGGTTGTGGTTACTAGATTTACTGTGTTGCTTGTAGTCTGCAAGGAAAATATTTGCGTTAGAACAGTTAGAGGATTGAAAAGCTAAACGTGCACAATTTTGAGGCTGTTATCTTGTTCTACTCCGTACTTCATTGCTACTGAATGTCACTGTCTGAATATAATAAACAGTGACTTTAGTGGTATGTGCTTCTCACCTATTTGATGCTTGCTTTATGACTTTTATTGAGACTCTCCTAGACTGTGTTTCCCTAAAATTGCATCATTGCTTTCTTGCCTGTAACTTCCATCTTGCTATCCCATTTCGTTGAGGGTTTTCCTGCTAAATAGAGAGTTGTGTTCTGCATACCTTCCAAACATAGCTTGAGTTAACTGCAATTAAAGGCCTTCATGTTCTGTGCCTTCCTTATGTCATTCAGGTTACATACACGGGACACTGTAGCATCCTCAGTTAATGTGTGAATTCCAAACATATTTCTAGTTGACAAACTGACTCTGTTTCTTTCCTATGATACGCCAGTTATATTATCTATGTGTGTTCATTTTTTTTTTACAAAACTGTCTCAAAAAGAAAGTACTGTAATGGAATATTGATTTCTTGAGATCCAACACTTCAACAGGAACTACAGTAGCAGATTGGTTGTCTAAGGAAGCTGGATGATTACTTAACAGTGAAATTTCCTTGAATGTTTATTGAAGATTGCCATATTTATTATATTGCATATTATGTTATTATTTGAGAAACTATATTTTGATTCATGGTGTGAACCAAAGTTATTTTGGTTTTGGTTTTGTTTGGAGGGGCAATACTAACCATTAGTGGTTGGTTGTGTGGTTCAATTCAAGGTAGGTTTACAACCTAAATAACTTGGGAGAATAGTAGAGATAGGTTAGGCTGAAGGAGCATTGAAATCAAAGTTGGTTAAATGGGAAGAGCAACAGCAGATATTTCAGAGCAGATGAAACTCTAGTGATCCTGAGACTTAATAGAAATACATAAGATGGCAGGAAGAAAAGTCAAAAGCTTCCAGGGCAGTAAGATTAAGAATGAAAAAAGGGAGGTAGCACATGGGACTCTAAATAGCTCTGTTGGTAGAGCATGGGACTCTTAATCTCAGGGTCATGGGTTTGAGCCCCACATTGGACAAAAAGATTCCTACATTGCAGGGGTTGGACTAGATGACTCGTGTGGTCCAACTCTGCAGTTCTGTGATTCTAGAACTTTCAGGAAAAGGAGGAGGATGTTCCTAAGGAGCAGAATGTGCAGTTAGAGACACCTGGGAGAAAGTATGAAGAGAATAACAGGGCAAGTGAAAGTTGGTGGACATGACTGGTGTGATATGTGCCAATGGTGTGATTGCATGGATGAGGTGGTGAAGGATTTTAGGAACGTGGCAAGGAAATTAAACATAGCAAGAAATGGCAAGCATTATGAGCAATGAAGTCTCTGAGAAATGGGCAGTGGCTTGACATGGAAAGGAGTGGAACTGAAAAGAGTGGATGCAGAGTAGAAAGGACTGTCCTTCAGTGTGTCAGCGTTACTGCAGTAGCTATGACTAAATTATTTGGGCCTTTCCATCTTGAGCCATCGTTTGACTGCAGTGCATAACGTTCTGTAATATTTTCCATCTTCAAATGGTTAAGCACACCAGAGTTAGATTAGCTGTTAGTTAAATTAGATGTTTGCAGGCATGCTTCTTGTCTTGCTCATACTCCTTTCATAACAGATTCCCATGTCTTTCCTAGTATTACTTGCAGCTTTTGCCAACGAGACTGGCTTGCCTGTTTCATAAATCTCCTCGTTATATCCGAAATGACATATTTTATCACTTGGATTGCAGTTTACACAAACCATGCTTGTAGGCATAGTTTTCTTTCAAAAATTAAAAACTGCAAAAGTCGTTAACTTGACCAGTCATTGAAATGTGACCCATTTCCCTTTTATTTTACTTGCAGCTGTAACAGTAGAAAGAAAGGGGGGGGGGATTGTATGTTCAAGTGCTCTGTTCTAGAGGAAAGCCTGGGAACTTTCCCTGTCTAGAGGAAGCATTTGACAAGATGACTATTTTCCAGTACTTAATAGAGGTGACAAAAACCTAAGCATGTGTTTCAGGAACTTCAGGTAGGGGCAGGGAACCTCAGGCCTGGGGGCTGATTGTGGACTCCAGTCCTTTCTATTATCAGGGGGTCTTATTCTTGGTTTCCACTCTGCCTTAGCTAATTCTATTTTAAAGGGGGGTGGATCACTGAGCTCTTGTTTTTAAAAGTGTGTGAATAGGCGTAACATGCCTTCTGTAATTCCTGGATTAATTGAAATATTTAAATTAATTTAGTTGTTATCCCAGCATAAGAGAGTGACTTTTTAAGTACTTCTTGGGAAGTAATGGTTCACAGAAATGAAACAATAGGAAAAGAAAAGAAAAAAATAATGCACAATACTTAAAACAAATGACTCACTCAAAACATCTCATAAAAAATTAAGAGAGCCAGAGGCTGGAGAACATAGTTCAATAGAGCTACCGCTGTGCACTTTGAATGAAAATATAAAACAGTCAAACATTTGATGTTCTTATTTTTTTATTTCAATTAACATTGATTAGTTTTCAGTTAACCTTGATTGACCCTTTTTTCTGATTCATTTGATTATTGTCTCCTATATAGTAACATTGTTATATGATAAAAATAAACATGCCAGATAATAGCTTCAGTCGCACAAAAGAAGCACATATTTGGGAGGGCCTCCCCTACCTTTTCTCTTTCTACCATGCGCCCATCAAAATTTTATTCTACTTTGCAGTTTAACACCCATGGGCAAAACAGCGCCTGGGTGGCACATTTGTGCTACCTTGGGTTCCATGACAGAAGAAAGATTGGATATAAATGTAATAAAAATGAAACTGATGGTCCATCAACAGTATTTTACGGAATGCCACTTGAGCACTATTATTTCTTTTATACAAGTTGGCCACAGTAGAGCCACAGAAAACCCTAGATCAGTAGAGCAATAAAGCAGATGGCATGGCAGTGAAGCAGCAGTTGAGTTCCAGCTATAGCTGTTACTGGGAAATAGCAGGGTTTTCTTACTGTAAAATTGCAAATAGTTAACTCTGCCTCAGAGCCCCTGTTTCATCATTTCAGTACTTTGCTACATTTATCTAATAGTTGTCCACAGTGGATTGCTAAGGACTGTTTGCTAATCTGTGAGAGCCACAAGTCCATTATGCTAGGATATCAGTTGCTTATGACAAAAGCACAAAGTACTCTTCTTTGGTCAAAGATTAAAAACTCCCCAGAAATACTTTCCATCTATTATTGGGCAAGCCTGTGCCTGTTAAAGATGGCCAAGTGACAGAACTGGGGCTCTTTTCCATACCCCTACATCATAAATAAATCTAGTGATT